GTGGAGGACAGAGGAGCCTCTTAAAGAAGAAGTTACAGGTCTGTGAGAGCCAGAAATCTTGCTTGTTTGTAGGTGACCAAATACTTATTTTCCACCATAATTTGCAAATAAATTCATTAAAAATCCTACAATGGGATTTTCTGGATTTTTTTTTCTCAATTTGTCTGTCATAGTTGACGTGTACCTATGATGAAAATTACAGGCCTCTCTCATCTTTTTAAGTGGGAGAACTTGCACAATTGGTGGCTGACTAAATACTTTTTTTCCCCACTGTACATACTGCAACCAGAAGCCATGGATTACAGGCAATATCCGCACTGAGCTACAGCGTAGAGCTGCCGCTTTCAAGGAGCGGGACTCTAACCCGGACGCTTATAAGAAATCCCGCTATGCCCTCCGACGAACCATCAAACAGGCAAAGCGTCAATACAGGACTAAGATTGAATCGTACTAGACCGGCTCCGACGCTCGTCGGATGTGGCAGGGCTTGCAAACTATTACAGACTACACAGGGAAGCACAGCCTCGAGCTGCCAAGTGACACGAGCCTACCAGATGAGGTAAATCTCTATGCTCGCTTCGAGGCAAACAAACCTGAAGCATGCATGGGAGCCTCAGCTGTTCCGAACGACTGTGTGATCACGCTCTCCGTAGCCGATGTGAGTAAGACCTTTAAAGAGGTCAACATTCACAAGGCTGCAGGGCCAGACAGATTACCAGGACGTGTACTCCGAACATGCGGTGACCAACTGGCAAGTGTCTTCACTGACATTTTCAACCGGTCTCTGACAGTCTGTAATACCAACATGTTTCAAGCAGACCACCATGGTTCCTGTGCCCAAGAACACGAAGGTAACCTGCCTAAATGACTACCGACCCGTAACACTCACGTCTGTAGCCATGAAGTGTTTTGAAAGGCTGGTCATGGATCACATCTACACCATTATCCCAGAAACCCTAGACCCACTCAATTTGCATACCGCCCCAACAGATCCACAGATGATGCAATCTCTATTGCACTCCACACTGCCCTTTCCCACCTGGACAAAAGGAACACCTACGTGAGAATGCTATTCATTGACTACAGCTCAGCGTTCAACACCATAGTGGCTTCAAAGCTCATCACTAAGCTAAGGACCCTGGGACTAAACACCTCCCTCTGCAACTGGATCCTCGACTTCCTGACGGGCCGCCCCCAGGTGATAAGGGTAGGTAACAACATCTGCCACACTGATCCTCAACATGGGGGCCCCTCAGGGGTGCGTGCTCAGTCCCTTCCTGTACTCCCTGTTCACCCATGACTGCATGGCCAGGCACACTTCCAACAACCATCATTTTAAATTTGCTGACGACACAAACGTGGTAGGCCGATCACTGACCAAAGATGAGACAGCCTATAGGGAGGAGACCTGGCCCTTTGTGCCGGTAACAACCCTCCCCTCAACTGATCAAGACAAGAATGATTTGGACTAAAAATAGAGGGGCCAACCCCCCCCATTCTCACGACGGGCTGGGGTGGGGGAGGTTTAAATTTTCTTTAAACCCCCCGCTTACCTATTGCATTCATTTTCCCCCCCTGGCAGGTTACAATTTTGTTTTTTGGTGTCCTTTGAAGCTCTTTTTGGCTTGGCCAATAGAGTTTGGAGTGTGCTGTTTGAAATCCAAAATGAAAATCCACATTTGTAGGATTTTTAATGAATTATTTGCAAATGATGGTGGAAAATAAGTATTTGGTCAATACAAAAGTTTTCAGTACTTTGTTATATACCCTTTGGCAATGACACAGGTCAAACGTTTTCTGTAAGTCTTCACAAGGTTTTCACACACTGTTGCTTGTATTTTGGCCCATTCCTCCATGCAGATCTCCTCTAGAGCAGTGATGTTTTGGGGCTGTCGCTGGGCAACACAGACTTTCAACTCCCTCCAAAGATTTTCTATGGGGTTGAGATCTGGAGACTGGCTAGGCCACTCCAGGACCTTGAAATGCTTCTTACGAAGCCACTCCTTCGTTGCCCGGGCGGTTGTGTTTGGGATCATTGTCATGCTGAAAGACCCAGCCACGTTTCATCTTCAATGCCCTTGCTGATGGAAGGAGGTTTTCACTCAAAATCTCACGATGCATGGCCCCATTCATTCTTTCCTTTACACGGATCAGTCGTCCTGGTCCCTTTGCAGAAAAACAGCCCCAAAGCATGATGTTTCCACCCCCATGCTTCACAGTAGGTATGGTGTTCTTTGGATGCAACTCAGCATTCTTTGTCCTCCAAACATGACGAGTTGAGTTTTTACCAAAAAGTTATATTTTGGTTTCATCTGACCATATGACATTCTCCCAATCCTCTTCTGGATCATCCAAATGCACTTCAGACTGGCCTGGACATGTACTGGTTTAAGCAGGGGGACACGTCTCGCACTGCAGGATTTGAGTCCCTGGCGGCGTAGTGTGTTACTGATGGTAGGCTTTGTTACTTTGGTCCCAGCTCTCTGCAGGTCATTCACTAGGTCCCCCGTGTGGTTCTGGGATTTTTGCTCACCGTTCTTGTGATCATTTTGACCCCACGGGGTGAGATCTTGCGTGGAGCCCCAGATTGAGGGAGATTATCAGTGGTCTTGTATGTCTTCCATTTCCTAATAATTGCTCCCACAGTTGATTTCTTCAAACCAAGCTGCTTACCTATTGCAGATTCAGTCTTCCCAGCCTGGTGCAAGTCTACAATTTTGTTTCTGGTGTCCTTTGACAGCTCTTTGGTCTTGGCCATAGTGGAGTTTGGAGTGTGACTGTTTGAGGTTGTGGACAGGTGTCTTTTATACTGATAACAAGTTCAAACAGGTGCCATTAATACAGGTAACGAGTGGAGGACAGAGGAGCCTCTTAAAGAAGAAGTTACAGGTCTGTGAGAGCCAGAAATCTTGCTTGTTTGTAGGTGACCAAATACTTATTTTCCACCATTAATGTGATTTTCTGGAAAAAAAAGTCTCAATTTGTCTGTCATAGTTGACATGTACCTATGATGAAAATTACAGGCCTCTCATCTTTTTAAGCGGGAGAACTTGCACAATTGGTGGCTGACTAAATACTTTTTTCCCCCACTGTACATGTACATATTACCTCAATTACCTCGACTAACCTGCACATTGACTCTGTACCGGTACCCCCTGTATATAGCCTCACTACTGTTTTCTATTTTTTACTTAACACTTATTTTTCTTAACTGCATTGTTGGTTAAGGGCTTGTAAGTAAGCATTTCACTGTAAGGTTGTATTCGGCGCATTTGACAAATAAAATTTGATTTGATTCACCTGGTCAGTCTGTCATGGAAAGAGCAGGTGTTCTTAATGTTTTGTACACTCTAAGGTAGGCCACTTGACTATTTCTAGTTTTTCTTGCTGGCATGCCGGTTATGCAGCGTGCAGGATGATCGTTATACTGTCTGAATGAGCCCGTTTAGATAACGCTAGGGCTGTTATGGGATTTTGGGGTAATGATTGAATTGTCATGCAAATGCCCACGGTTGTCTTTTATGTTATTTTAATTAAATGTTTTACTTGTAATGCATCTTTGAAAAATGGATATGACATACAGTAACTAATGAACACAACCAGCTTTGGTGATGACCGTGTTGAAAAATGAATAGTTTTGACCATAGTACCGTTCTGCACATAAAATGATGACCAACATTACCCACTGTAGTCATATAGCTAGACTTGAACCACAACTGAACAAAATGTGGGACTAAAATGTGCACCTGTATTTTTCCTTTTACAATAGTAGTGGTATTTCCACTACTAGCTTAAGACAAAATTGGATCCATGCGGTACTTGCAGTCAGAGGTCTTCTAGGTCTCTTCCTCTCAAGAGTCAGGCCCATGGTGTCAATGTCATGCTGTTTTAACTGGAGACGCTGCTGCCTGCTCTCTGACTTTACTACAGCCCTTGAAACATGCTAGTTGGCAGCCTCACTGCTGAATGGAGACATTATTTCCATCTGTTGAGGATTGTTATCTTTCCCACTGTCTTACCACTCTACGCCGTTGCTAGCAATATCGTTGTAGGAAATGTATCTACTTTTATTTTAACCTCTATGACAAACATTTGATTCCACTGCCTGGCTAGCTATGGCTGGATGTTACACTAGACAAGACCAGGCCAGAATGCTAGAAAAGTAGGATTTGCTAAGATGTCTACTGGTGCCAACAAGTACTGAATTGGCAGCTAGGTCATATTATGTTTCACTAATGGTCATACTGACAACCTGGCCAATCCATGCCAAGCTCTCAGCTGATCTGATGGGAAATGATGCACCCAGACTCGGGAGCAGCCCAGCCAGAGATGGTGCAGGCCTAACAGGTTTCTCTGTACCGTTCCTCCTTATCATGTCCGCGCTATAACACTTATCGCTTACTTCTGCACATTGTCTCTACAACACCTATACAACAGTATGGAAAATGTATGCACTCACTAACTGTAAGTCGCTCTGGATAAGAGCGTCTGCTAAATGACAAAAAAAAAAAAGAAGAAACACCTAACTGCAAAAATGGAACACAATCAAGCAAGTGTCGGAAAATACAAAGGATTGTTCCCTTCCAATCTGATAGGTCCCAGAGAATCATTAAGAATTTAAACCTGCTTGTCTTCACTACTGCAATGTTATCTCGTGCACGTGCATTATTTCTAATTCGGTGTATGTTTCTTTTTTTTGTGTACCAAAAACGTGATCCAGGCTCACCTGACAAAGATGGTCACTGAGACCCCCAAACAAGCTAGTTGCGGTTTGATTTGATAACGCATAATGACCTTAAAGAAACGTACCGTGTATATAACACACAAACTGACCTTAAACGGAGAAGTGATCCCATTGATTGAATTGACCCACGTGAAATCTCTCCTATCGTGTTTGTAAGTTTTTGTGAGTGAGCCCACCATGCAGTATTTTGATTGTCTGCAGACAACAAAACCCATACACCCTATAACCCGCTCCTCTCTTCTCTCCAGGTTATGCAATGGTCTCAGCGGCCCGTCCAGATCTCCAGGTGGTTCTGTCCCTCTCTCTCGTGCCACGGCCGCTGCTCTCCTCCCTCTGCTCTGCCTCTGAGGTTGCTGAGGCGCCTCCTGTGATTTCCCTCCTGGCCAGTGCTCCCTAAAAGAGGCCAAGATTGCCAAGATCTGCCCCGTAGCGAGCATGACAGCCACCACGCGTGGCTCTCCTGTGGGGGGTAACGACAACCAGGCAGGCCAGGCGCCCGACGCTCAGAGTCAGAGCCAGCCCCCGCTGCCACAGAACCAGGTCAGAAACCTCTCTGTCCCATCCTCTCGTTTCTGTCCTTCACCTCAACATCCTGTTTTTGCTTTGTCCTGTCTTCTAGTCCTCTTTCCCTTTTCTCCCCCACTTTTCTACCTCTACTCTGCCCCATTTTCTCCTTCCTCTCACTTCTCCATGTCTCAACATCCTCTTCTCTCTCTGGCTTTTCATTCTTCCTTCTGCTGTTCATTCCCCTGTTGCCCCATCCTCTCCTCCTCCTCTTTGTTCTAAAGCACATAGTATGACACGAACTCCCTCCTCGTGCCTTGTAAAAAAAAGCTGTCCTGATTCATTTAACGTTAACTATAAATCCAACCTGTTTTGGCCTCTGAAACCATAACACAGGATAAGTTGTTTGTTTGATAGATGCTGTGTTGATGTATTGTTTAGACTTCAGTGTTGTTCTGTTACAAATACTGCACCAGTGGCCCACATTGTCACAGCAGCACAGAGAATCATCTAATTGAATTAAACTGCAGAGGGAGTAGCGGGGGGGTGTGTGACAGAGAGAATGTGTGTGTCTGCGGGAAACACTGCATCACAGTTTTTCATTCAACAGTCAGTGCTCACACCTAAGCACACAGAGGGAGAGAGAAAGAAGGCAGGCAGACTGGGAAGGAGGAGGAAGGAATCAATGAACACAAGCCCCAGAGTAATAGATAAAGACAAAGAAAGAGTGTGTGTGTGTGGGTTAGAGATGAGTAGCGCCCAGACGTGAGAGGCAAGCTGGCTATGTAGGTCAACCAAGCAGAAGGAGCCTTCTCCACACACCCCCACATTTCCCAAGTTCTGCAGCTTCGCTACTCGCATCAGACACACACACACTTGCTGCAACCACTGCTGCTCATACATACTAACAGTTGTTAACATATGTCAGTTAGACACACACACAGTTATTGAAGACATGATGGGAATAAAGAACAATCCATCTGTGGATTTTCACAGCCTTACAATTCAGAGACATGCTGCAAATCTCCCAATGTCATCAATGCATGATTTGAGTGAAAGTCTGAGTGACGGGTACAGATCCCAAGTTAGGATCAAATGATGTGCACTTGTGTTGGAGAGTGAATGTTGTTGGGAACTGGGAATAGACTGGTTCTGTCCAGATGACTATCGCAAGGCTCTCTAGCTCTCCTGTTATATATTATGAGTCAGTGTTTCCCCTAGTTTTTTTCCAGGCGGGGTATTGCGAAATTGGGATTTGGGGAATATATTCTGTTTTGATGGTGTGTGTGTGTGTGTGTGTGTGTTTCAGACGTCATCCCCTAACTCCACCAATGAGAACTCTCCAGTGAGCCCCCCGGATGAGCAGGGTCAGGGGGATGCCCCCCCCCAGCTGGAGGAGGAGGAGCCTGCCTTCCCTCACACAGACCTGGCCAAGCTGGACGACATGATCAACAGGTACAAACACACTCTTACACACACGGCCAAGCTGAACGACAGGTGTATGTGTGACACTGATTTATGCGCGTTTGAGTGTGTGTGTGTTGATGTAAGGAGGTGTGTGGGTGTGGTTGTGAGAAGGAATGTGTGTATCTCTGTATTAATGTGGATGTTTTGTTTCCAGACCCCGCTGGGTGGTTCCAGTTCTTCCAAAGGGAGAGTTAGAGGTTCTTCTAGAAGCTGCTATAGAGCTTAGTAAAAAAGGTAAGAATGTTGACTCATTCTATTCCTCAAATCACTCCTCAATACTTTGAACTATGGCAAGCAAGATGGTATAGAAAGCTTGGCTATGTACACATCTGAAATATTATGACTGCACTGTATTTCACCCAAAGTGTATGGAGTTTAGACTTGCTTGGTAGCTGACTCTCTTACTTTCGCTTTGTCAATGACTCATGAAATATAATCTGCATAGTTAATCTTTAGATTGATAATTGACCTGCAGCCCTTCCAATAAAACATATGTGGTACAGTGGCGGTCGGTGATGTTTAAGATGAGGGAGGACGATATTGTTTTTATGAGCATGGGCTTATTTCTATTACAGCGTTTTGGATGACTGTAATTCATATTCCATTCACCCAGCTCAATGTAAAATTGATAGGTTTAGGCTACTACATGATACTCAAATTTTCCCTATACCCATTATAGGGCTGGGCGATATGGACAGAATCTCATATCACAATAAATTATAAGTGATTTCAATGGAACCTTCTCCATTTTATATTGTTGAATCCAACTTTTATTATAATTTCAAAACTGTGCCCACACAGCATGATATGGGCAGGAAAATCTAGGCCTAGTTAACAGTTAGAATCATGGAAATATAATGTATTTTCTAATTCTATAATTCTATAGCCAACTAACTAGCGATTAGCATTAGCAAATTATTTTAGCAACACCTTGCTAAGAAAAGAAAAACTAGCAAACCGTAGTTGGCAGACAGTAAGATGCACAAACTAATAGTGTAATTATAGAATACTTGTGGAAAGCAGCATGTCACCAACATTGTTGCATCCATCTGACCATGTAGAGGGAATGGCAAGAAAGGGCTTGTGACTCTGTGGTCGAACAACTGCTCTCTCCTTGAGTGATGGGGCAGGGCTTGGTGTGTTTGGTGGCATGCAGCAGGAGGAGAGTGAGAGAGAAGACTCAAGTAGTAAATGGAGTAAACTATCAAAACTGACATTTATACGCGCCAGAGTTGAGTATCACATTTAACAAACCAAACATTGAATTAAAAACTCAAACCGGTCCGTGCATCAACACCGGTATATAGTAAAATACAGTATACCGCACAGCTCTAACCCATAATGAGGTTGCTACAACCTAGCCTATGAATGAAAGTTTACAACGTAGGTGCACAGGCCGAGAGAGAAATGAGAGTAATCAAGGTGACAGACAGTGACACATTCAGTACCGCCTTGCACACTCTTGCCTGCATCTTGTTGATCTAGGGCAAGGGGGGGGGGGGCAAAGTACGGCATTAAAAAATATATTAAATATTATTATATTTGAGTTACGATTTTTGGCCTAAAATGACTCATTCCATGATATACAAACAACCTCCAATAGAAAGCGCTGTAGCCTGGCAGCGCGCTCTGTATTTGGGCCTACAGTCAGATTCAGAATGCGCTCAGTCATCATAGCCACTTCATTGCTTGACGACTTTTGACGTGAAAAATGAATGCTACGAAAATGAGAAAAGTGGACTCTGAATGTAATGGGTTTAAAGAAGAATGGACAGCAAAATACTTTTACTAATATTGGACATAAGGTGGTATGTCTGATATGCCAAGAAAGTGTTGCCGTTTTTAAGGAATATGATCTCAATCGTCATTTTTCAAGCAAGCATGCTAAAAGTGTGTTAAAGCTGGAAAATGTTGTCAAACTTTATACGGTCAAAGGGGCTTAGCCATCGTCGGTTCATTCAGCTGCTCAATAACACAGAGGCAGAGCACCAGGACTAGTTGTACCATTCAAATGTGCGTTGGCTAAGCCTGGGAAAAGTATTTCGCCGTGTGTGGGAACTGAGAGGTGAGATGGGTATGTTCCTTGATACGGTTGGTAAAGCGGAAGACTTCTCAGAGTTGAAAGACACAGACTGGCTGGGCGACTTTGCTTTGGGTGTGGACATATTGGGGCATCTGAACGATCGAAATGTGAAACTGCAGGGAAATTGTGTTTTTGTGCATGAACTGTATTCCAACGTGAAAGCATTGAAGGCCGAACTTATGTTGTTCTCCAGACAAATGAGCAGCCGGTCTCTCGCTCATTTTCCGACACTGGCTGCACTGAACGCGCCCACATCGCAGTGCCGCACTGAGACATACAGTAGCACTTTGATCGACCTGCATGCTGAGTTTTCCCGCCGCTTCTCAGACTTCACCAAGACTGAGCTGGAGCTTGTATCATGCCCCCTGTCTTTCGACAGTGAGAAAGCACCACCAGACATATAATTGGAGCTCATCGACATCCAATGTGACAGTGCTTTGAAGGAGAAGTACAAAACAGCAACAATAGACCAGTTCTATGGCTCACTGAATGAAACAAAGTTTCCAAACATTAAAAAGCACGCCCAAAGGATGCTTGTTTTATTCGGGTCCACATACAGTGTGGTATTTGATACACTGCCGATTTTGCAGGTTTTCCTACTTACAAAGCATGTAGAGGTCTGTAATTTTTATCATAGGTACACTTCAACTGTGAGAGACGGAATCTAAAACAAAAATCCAGAAAATCACATTGTATGATTTTTAAGTAATTAATTTGCATTTTATTGCATGACATAAGTATTTGATCACCTACCAACCAGTAAGAATTCCGTCTCTCACAGACCTGTTAGTTTTTCTTTAAGAAGCCCTCCTGTTCTCCACTCATTACCTGTATTAACTGCACCTGTTTGAACTCGTTACCTGTATAAAAGACACCTGTCCACACACTCAATCAAACAGACTCCAACCTCTCCACAATGGCCAAGACCAGAGAGCTGTGTAAGGACATCAGGGATACAATTGTAGATCTGCACAAGGCTGGGATGGGCTACAGGACAATAGGCAAGCAGCTTGGTGAGAAGGCAACAACTGTTGGCGCAATTATTAGAAAATGGAAGAAGTTCAAGATGACGGTCAATCACCCTCGGTCTGGGGCTCCATGCAAGATCTCACCTCGTGGGGCATCAATGATCATGAGGAAGGTGAGGGATCAGCCCAGAACTACACGGCAGGACCTGGTCAATGACCTGAAGAGAGCTGGGACCACAGTCTCAAAGAAAACCATTAGTAACACACTACGCCGTCATGGATTAAAATCCTGCAGCGCACGCAAGGTCCCCCTGTTCAAGCCAGCGCATGTCCAGGCCCGTCTGAAGTTTGCCAATGACCATCTGGATGATCCAGAGGAGGAATGGGAGAAGGTCATGTGGTCTGATGAGACAAAAATAGAGCTTTTTGGTCTAAACTCCACTCGCCGTGTTTGGAGGAAGAAGGACAACCCCAAGAACACCATCCCAACCGTGAAGCATGGAGGTGGAAACATCATTCTTTGGGGATGCTTTTCTGCAGAGGGGACAGGACGACTGCACCGTATTGAGGGGAGGATGGATGGGGCCATGTATCGCTAGATCTTGGCCAACAACCTCCTTCCCTCAGTAAGCGCATTGAAGATGGGTTGTGGCTGGGTTTTACAGCATGACAATGTCCTGAAACACACAGCCAGGGCAACTAAGGAGTGGCTCCGTAAGAAGCATCTCAAGGTCCTGGAGTGGCCTAGCCAGTCTCCAGACCTGAACCCAATAGAAAATCTTTGGAGGTAGCTGAAAGTCCGTATTGCCCAGCGACAGCCCCGAAACCTGAAGGATCTGGAGAAGGTCTGTATGGAGGAGTGGGCCAAAATCCCAGCTGCAGTGTGTGCAAACCTGGTCAAGACCTACAGGAAACGTATGATCTCTGTAAATCCAAACACAGGTTTCTGTACCAAATATTAAGTTCTGCTTTTCTGATGTATCAAATACTTATGTCATGCAATCAAATGCAAATTAATTACTTAAAAATCATACAATGTGATTTTCTGGATTTTTGTCTCTTACAGGTGACGTGTACCTATGATAAAAATTACAGACCTCTACATGCTTTGTAAGTAGGAAAACCTGCAAAATCGGCAGTGTATCAAATACTTGTTCTCCCCACTGTATGTGTGCGCACAAACGTTCGCAGTCATGAATTGCAACAAATCCCGTCACAGGTCAAATTTAACAAATTACCACTTGTCAGCTGTTCTGAGAATCTCTACATCAAAGATGACACCAGACATTGATGCCCTTGCCAAGAGAGGTGACCAGACCCATTGTTCACATTAAGACTTGAATAACTGTGACTGGGGTAGGCAAGGATTATGTGTTTTCATGGTGATGGTTCCCCACGATATACAACTTTTCAGGGAAGTTAGGAACCAATATACACAAGCAGTTAGGAAAGCAAAGGCTAACTTTTTCAAACAGAAATGTGCATCCTGTAGCACTAACTCCAAAAAGTTTTGAGACACTGTAAAGTCCATGGAGAATAAGAGCACTTCCTCCCAGCTGCCCACTGCACTGAGGCTAGGAAACACTATTACCACCGATAAATCTACAATAATCGAGAATTTCAACAAGCATTTCAACCTGTTCAACCTCTCTTTCGTAACGTCTGAGAACCCCAAAGCTGCCGCGGTCATCCCCCTCTTCAAAGGGGGGTGACACTCTAGATCCAAACTGTTACAGACCTATATCCATCCTGCCCTGCCTTTCGAACGTTTTTGAAAGCCAAGTTAACAAACAGATCACCGACCATTTAGAATCCCACCGTACCTTCTCCGCTATGCAATCCGGTTTCCGAGCTGGTCATGGGTGCACCTCAGCCACACTCAAGGTCCTAAACGATATTATAACCGCGATCGATAATAGACAGTACTGTGCAGCCGTCTTCATCGACCTGGCCAAGCCTTTCGACTCTGTCAACCACCGCATTCTTATTGGCAGACTAAATAGCCTTGGTTTCTCAAATGACTGCCTCGCCTGGTTCACCAACTTCTTCTCAGAGACCTATGGGGGTGCCACAGGGTTCAATTATTGGGCCGACTCTTTTCTCCGTGTATATCAATGATGTCGCTCTTGCTGCTGGTGACTCTCAGATCCACCTCTACGCAGACGACACCATTTTGTATACATCTGGCCCTTCATTGGACACTGTGTTAACAAACCTCCAAACGAGCTTCAATGCCATACAACACTCCTTCAGTAGCCTCCAACTGCTCTTAAACACTAGTAAAACTAAATGCATGCTCTTCAATCGAACGCTGCTGGCACCCGCCCACCCGACTAGAATCACTACTCTCGACGGGTCTGACCTAGAGTATGTGGACAACTACAAATACCTAGGTGTCTGGTTAGACTGTAAACTCTCCTTCCAGACTCACATTAAGAATCTCCAATCCAAAGTTAAATCTAGAATCGGCTTCCTATTTCTCAACAAAGCCTCCTTCACTCATGCTGCCAAAAATGCCCTCGTAAATCTGACTATCCTACCGATCCTTGACTTCGGCGATGTCATTTACAAAATAGCCTCCAACACTCTACTCAGCAAATTGGATGTAGTCTATCACAGTGCCATCCATTTTGTCTCCAAAGCCCCATACACTACCCACCACTTTGACCTGTACGCTCTTGTTGGCTGGTCCTCACTACATGTTCGTCGTCAAAACCCACTGGCTCCAGGCCATCTATAAATCACTGCTAGGCAAATCCCCGCCTTATCTTAGCTCGTTGGTCACCATAGCACCATAGCAGCTCCAGCAGGTATATCTCACTGGTCATCCCCAAAGCCAACACCTCCTTTGGCCGCCATTCCTTCCAGTTCTCTGCTGCCAATGACTGGAACGAATTGCAAAAATCTCTGAAGCTGGAGACTGTTATCTCCCTCACTAACTTTAAGCATCAGTTGTCAGAGCACCTTACCGATCACTGCACCTGTACACAGCCCATCTGAAATTAGCCCACCCAACTACCTCATCCCTATATTGTTATTTATTTTGCTCTTTTGCACCCCAGTATCTCTATTTGCACATAATCTCTTGCACATCTAGCATTCCATTGTTAATACTAATTGTAATTATTTTGCACTATAGCCTATTTATTGCCTTACCTCCATAACTTGCTACATTTGCACACACTGTATATATATTTTCTGTTGTATTTTTGACTTTATGTTTTGTTTTACCCCATATGTAACTCTGTGTTGTTGTTTTTATCGCACTGCTTTGCTTGGCCAGGTCGCAGTTGTAAATGAGAACTTGTTCTCAACTGGCTTACCTGGTTAAATAAAAAACTGTAGTGAGAATTATCCAGCAATGCACTTGAATACAGGTAATAACTAATCAGTCAGATTTGGGCTGAGGTGATTGGATAACTGTAAATATGTCTCACAATGGAGATGAGAATTGTTCCTTAATATGCTTTCAAAATTAGACCTTTCCAAATGAAACGGATGCTCTTACCATATGTTTCACTCAAATTTTAGAATAGCTATTTTTTGTACACCTCTGCTGTTACATTTTGCATGTCTCCAGTCATGTAATATATCTATTTTTAATAATAATATAATATGCCATTTAGCAGACCATATTGTGACTAAGTTTGATTGTACTTTACAAGGGTAGAGATGCAGGATCTGTGTGTGTGTGTTTGACTGTCTGTGATATAAATTATATCAATTTTGTGAAAATGTGTTCACAAAAAACAAGGGTAGAGATGGTACAAGGGTAGAATTGTTCTGCAAACATATTTACACCTACAGTACACTAGTAGTTGAGTGTCAATGTGAAAATGAATAAAGGCTTCACATGTTTTGTCATGCATATAGTATGTGGCCATTCACTTGGTTTCAAAAACTAAATGTGGCCCTTGAGCGAAAAGGTTTGCCCACCCCTGATCTGCATTCGCTAGCTAAGTGAAAGGGGAAAAAAATATATACAGAAATATAGCTAGTTGCTCTCGCTTTCTCTCTTGCTTCTCCATTTTTAAAGAAACTATTTTTTTCGAAACTGTTCAAATATTGTCTCTCTCTCATAGTGAGTCAACTACTCACCACATTTTATGCACCGCAGTGCTAGCTAGCTGTAGCTTATGCTTTCAGTACTATATTAATTCTCTGATCCTTTGATTGGGTGGACAACATGTCAGTTCATGCTGCAAGAGCTCTGATTGGTTGAAGGACGTCCTCCGGAAGTTGTCGTAATTATTGTTTAAGTCTATGTAAGGGGGTGAGAACCATGAACCTCCTACGTTTTGTATTGAAGTCAATGTACCCAGAGGAGGATGTAAACTAGCTGTCTTCCGGCTACACCATGGTGCTACCTTACAGAGTGCTGTTGAGGCTACTGTAGACCTTCATTGCAAAACAGTGTGTTTTAATCAATTATTTGGTGACGTGAATATATTTTAGTATAGTTTTTAACAATTTAAATTTTTATGAAATTCACTGAGGAGGATGGTCCTCCCCTTCCTCCTCTGAGGAGCCTTCACTGATGTGGGAGTACAATATCTCCATGCACCTAATTATTTTCTCTCTGTTTAGGACTTGATGTGAAGTGTGAGGCGTGCCAGAGGTTTTTCAGAGATGGCCTGACCATCTCCTTCACCAAGATTCTTACGGATGAGGCCGTCAGCGGGTGGAAGTTTGAGATCCATGTGAGTCGTCTTTATTGTATTTAATCAGGATAGTGCTCTCAAGAACAATGGTCACTGTTTTTCAAGAAGTCATGGGTCCTCTTCAATACTTTGAAAACCCTTCTTCCCCAGTCCCTTCCTTAGGTTAATCACTCATTTGTCACGATTGGATTGGTGAAACCTATCCAGTGGAGATCCAGTTTTTTGACCAATCCAATTGTGTTGAATCCAATTGTGTTAATTGTGATTAACTCAAGGAGGGAAGGATGCATTTCTGAAGATGTATTCAAACAGGGCCTTGCTAAGGGGAGTGACGACACCAGAAGCACCCTGCTGTTGAGATCCGATCAATTTATTTTCTGTCCTTCTCTGTTGAAAGCAAAGCAGTTGGTTTATGTTCCTCTGCCTCAGTCTTGTCGATAAACACAGTTTGCTATCTGGTCCCCTGAGCTGGAAAGAAGGTAAAATGAACAGAGAGAATGCCAGGGGTGATCAAGGCTCTTTTTATTGGAGGAGGGGGCTTTGGTTTGGCTGTTTTGTTTAACTCTGTAACATTGACTGAGTACAATATCAAAGGGGAAGGTGGAGCTCATTTCAGATCTGAGAAAAGTCAGGGGTAGGGTGGATATGATATCAAACTAGACAATATACATAGTTTGATGGAACTGGATAGTTTTAAGCAATATGGAGGAAGCTCCCCCTAAGCTCTCAGCTAGGCTATGTGGTCGTCACTTGTTACCACAGCCACAACGTAATAATTATGTCTAAACCCTGCCTATTTCTATAATCTCTCTTCTTAAAATCTGATTTTAAACCTAACCACACTGCTAACCAGGGGTTGGAACAGAAATGATTTCCCAATTGTTTCGTTCTGAACAGGACCACTACTTTTTTTGTTCTGTTCCACTGTTCATACCAGCATTATAAAGTTCTGAACCGGTTCAAACGAAAAAAAGGACCGGTTTATATCGTTCCTTTCTGTTCCTTTTTTAACCAGTGAAATCAACATAGTTTTTGCATTTAGCTCATTAAGTAACTCCATCAATCACTGCGGATAGAGCAGCTTGCTATGGACCGGGCAAGCTAGTTTACATGCTTGATGGACAGTGTAGGGCGCGAGATCTGACTGACATTTTGTTGTGGGAGAGATCGAGATGGACATGACATGGAGGCTTGGCTTGTCTTGAAGCACTGGGCATCATGATATAACGTGCATTATAATGTTTTTAGGATATTAGTAGTAGGCCTATCAATTACATAATACTAGCTACATACAGTTGAAGTTGGAGGTTTATATACACTTAGGTGGGAGTCATTAAAACTAGTTTTTCAACCACTCCACAAATGTCTTGTTAACAAACTATTGTTTTGGCAAGTCGGTTAGGACATCTACTTTGCATGACACAAGTAATTTTTCCAACAATTGTTTAGATAGATTATTTCACTTATAATTCACTGTATCACAATTCCAGTGGGTCAGAAGTTTACATACACTAAGTTGACTGTGCCTTTAAACAGCTTGGAAAATTCCAGAAAAGGATGTCATGGCTTTAGATGCTTCTGATAGGCTAATTGACATCATTTGAGTCAATTGGAGGTGTACCTGTGGATGTATTTCAAGGCCTACCTTCAAATTCAGTGCCTCTTTGTTTGACATCCAAGACTTCAGAAAAAAAATGGTAGACCTCCACAAGTCTGGTTCATCCTTGGGAGCAATTTCCAAATGCCTGAAGGTACCACGTTCATCTGTACAAACAATAGTACGCAAGTATAAACACTATGGGACCAAGCAGCCGTCATACCGCTCAGGAAGGAGATGCGTTCTGTCTCCTAGAGATAAACGTACTTTGGTGCGAAAAGTGCAAATCAATCCCAGAACAACAGCAAAGGACCTTGTGAAGATGCTGGTGGAAACCGGTACAAAAGTACAGTGAGGGGAAAAAAGTATTTGATCCCCTGCTGATTTTGTACGTTTGCCCACTGACAAAGAAATGATCAGTCTGTAATTTTAATGGTATATTTATTTGAACAGTGAGAGACAGAATAACAACAAAAAAATCCAGAAAGATGCATGTCAAAAATGTTATAAATTGATTTGCATTTTAATGAGGGAAATAAGTATTTGACCCCCTCTCAATCAGAAAGATTTCTGGCTCCCAGGTGTCTTTTATACAGGTAACGAGCTGAGATTAGGAGCACACTCTTAAAGGGAGTGCTCCTAATCTCAGCTTGTTACCTGTATAAAAGACACCTGTCCACAGAAGCAATCAATCAATCAGATTCCAAACTCTCCACCATGGCCAAGACCAGAGAGCTCTCCAAGGATGTCAGGGACAAGATTGTAGACCTACACAAGGCTGGAATGGGCTACAAGACCATCGCCAAGCAGCTTGGTGAGAAGGTGACAACAGTTGGTGCGATTATTCGCAAATGAAGAAACACAAAAGAACTGTCAATCTCCCTCGGCCTGGGGCTCCATGCAAGATCTCACCTCGTGGAGTTGCAATGATCATGAGAACGGTGAGGAATCAGCCCAGAACTACACAGGAGTGTCTTGTCAATGATCTCAAGGCAGCTGGGACCATAGTCACCAAGAAAACAATTGGTAACACACTACGCCGTGAAGGACTGAAATCGTGCAGCGCCCTCAAGGTCCCCCTGCTCAAGAAAGCACATATACAGGCCCATCTGAAGTTTGCCAATGAACATCTGAATGATTCAGAGGAGAACTGGGTGAAAGTGTTGTGGTCAGATGAGACCAAAATTGCGCTCTTTGGCATCAACTCAACTCACCGTGTTTGGAGGAGGAGGAATGCTGCCTATGACCCCAAGAACACTATCCCCACCGTCAAACATGGAGGTGGAAACATTATGCTTTGGGGGTGTTTTTCTGCTAAGGGGACAGGACAACTTCACCGTATCAAAAGGACGATGGACGGGGCCATGTACCGTCAAATCTTGGGTGAGAACCTCCTTCCCTCAGCCAGGGCATTGAAAATGGGTCGTGGATGGGTATTCCATCATGACAATGACCCAAATCACACGGCCAAGGCAACAAAGGAGTAGCTCAAGAAGAAGCACATTAAGGTCCTGGAGTGGCCTAGCCAGTCTCCAGACCTTAACCCCAATGAAAATCTGTGGAGGGAGCTGAAGGTTCGAGTTGCCAAACGTCAGCCTCGAAACCTTAATGACCTGGAGAAGATCTGCAAAGAGGAGTGGGACGAAATCCCTCCTGAGATGTGTTCAAACCTGGTGGCCAACTACAAGAAACGTCTGACCTCTGTGATTGCCAACAAGGGTTTTGCCACCAAGTACTAAGTCATGTTTTGCAGAGGGGTCAAATACTTATTTCTCTCATTGCAAATCAATTCATAACATTTTTGACATGCGTTTTTCTGGATGTTTTTGTTGTTATTCTGTCTCTCACTGTTCAAATAAACCTACCATTAAAATTATAGACTGATCATGTCTTTGTCAGTGGGCAAACGTACAAAATCAGCAGGGGATCAAATACTTTTTTCCCTCACTGCATCTATATCCACAGTAAAATGAGTCCTATATCAACATAACCTGAAAGGCCGCTCAGCAAGGAAGAAGCCACTGCTCCAAAACCGCCATAAAAAAGCCAGACTATGGTTTGCAACTGCACATGGGACAAAGATCGTACTTTTTGGAGAAATGTCCTCTGGTCTGATGAAACAAAAATTGAACTGGTTGGCCATAATGACCATCGTTATGTTTGGAGGAAAAAGGGGAAGGCTTGCAAGACGAAGAACACCATCCCAACCGTGAAGCATGGGGGTGGCAGCATCATGCTGTGGGGGTGCTTTGCTGCAGGAGGGACTGGTGCACTTCACAAAATCGATGGCGTCATGAAGAAGGAAAATTATGTGGATAATATTGAAGCAACATCTCAAGACATCCGTCAGGAAGTTAAAGCTTGGTCGCAAATGGGTCTTCCAAATGGACAATGACCCCAAGCATACTTCCAAAGTTGTGGCAAAATGGCTTAAGGACAACAAAGTCAAGGTATTGGAGTGGCCATCACAAAGCCCTGACCTCAATCCTATAGAACATTTGTGGGCAGAACTGAAAAAGCGTGTGCGAGCAAGGAGGCCTACAAACCTAACTCAGTTACACCAGCTCTGTCAGGAGGAATGGGCCACAATTCACCCAACTTATTGTGGGAAGCTTGTGGAAGGCTACCTGAAATAAGTTAAACAATTTGAAGGCAATGCTACCAAATACTAATTGAGTGTATGTCAACTTCTGACCCTCTGGGAATGTATTGAAAGAAATAAAAGCTGAAATAAATCATTCTCTCTACTATTATTCTGATATTTTACATTCTTAAAATAAAGTGGTGATCCTAACTGACCTAAGACAGGACATTTTTACTATGATTAAATGTCAGGAATTGTGTAAAACTGAGATGAAATGTATTTGGCTAAGGTGTATGTAAACTTCCGACTTCAACTGTAACTAAGGAGGAGCGGCTAATATGGAGGACATCTGAACGTCTGATAGTTGACTCATCACCGAGGCTAGCTCAATGCCCTGGACCAGAGCTAGCTAACAAGGTGGTGTGTGCAGCGACACCAGAATTCAAAACACGTCTTAACGTTTTTTGTTAAGTATGAAAATGTATGCTCTCACTAACTGTAAGACGCTCTGGATAAGAGCGTCTGCTAAATGACTAAAATGTAAAAATGTAAAATTTTAATAAATCCAATGTGAAACGTGATAACTATAGTATCCTTAACCTAGAAATCATGCTGGCAGGCAGACACTTGAAGGAGAAGTTTCTGAGTGACAGAGTGAGTGCTTTGCAAAGGCACTTTGATGTTTTTTTGTATTTTTTTGGGGGGGGGGGTGGAAAAAAACCTCAATGGTTTAGTAACCCGTTCCTATGGCCTTTTTAAATAATGGTTTAGCTTCCCGGAACACTAGAGATCACTTTCTGTAACCCAATTTCTCAAAGTGCATTGGTGCTTGACTAGCCTGATCCCAGGTCTGTTTTTGAGGTCCTGCTGACGTTGGCCAGACAGCACAAACAGATCTGGGACTAGCATAGTGGTTGACAGGAGGAAGAGTCAAAGGACTGCCATGTCTTCTGCTCGTGGTGTCACTAGCCCCTCAGCAAACCTCAGATCTATTGCTTTGTACAGGCTTTGAAGAAGCTTCAGGTAAACATAATTGTTAATTGACAGACATGTTTAAATATTACAGATGTGTGTATCAACTATATATCACGTAGATGTGGAGGGTATTGACTTGGTCCATGTGCTCTTTGGAGCTCTTTCACAGCTTCAAGCAAGGTCAAGCCTTATTCCCACAACGCATGCAGTAGGTAATGTTGAAAAACAAGAAACTATACTGAACAAAAATATAAACGCAACATGCAACAATTTCACAGATTTTACTAAGTTAGTTCATATAAGGAAATCAGTCAATTGAAAGAAATGGTATTCCGAAACCCTTAGAGATCCACTTCTGTTCTCGGTTCTATTTCCTTTCTCCTCTAAAACAATTTGTCCTCCAGTTTTCTGTTATTTTAAACCGTTTCCAACCCCCTCTGCTAACCTTATGCTGAAACCCCTAACCTTAAATTAAGTCCAAAGAGCGAATTCTTGTTTTCATGAATTTCTACGATGTAACCAACTTTGAATTTGTGGCTGTGGTAACTAGTGTCAACCAGGCTATGTGGAGCCGTCACCATATTGCTGACACCTATCTGATTCCTACAGGTCTGCAAAGACTGAAGGGTTAGGGGCTATAGTAGGGGTTTTGTCTTGGCACAAGACTACACTTCATCAAGGCTTTATCAAAATGTTCTCTGTATCAGGAATACTATTACTACTTACAGTTGAAGTCGGAAGTTTACATACACCTTAGCCAAATACATTTAAACTCAGTTTTTCACAATTCCTGACATTTAATCCTAGTACAAATTCCCTGTCTAGGTCAGTTAGGATCACCACGTTATTTTAAGAATGTGAAATGTCAGAATAATAGTAGAGAGATTTTATTTTAGCTTTTATTTCTTTCATCACATTCCCAGAGGGTCAGAAGTTTACATGCACTGAATTAGTATTAGGTAACATTGCCTTTTAAATTGTTTAACTTGGGTCAAATGTTTTGGGTAGCCTTCCACAAGCTTCCCACAATAAGTTGGGTGAATTTTGGCCCATTCCTCCTGACAGTCAGGTTTGTAGGCCTCCTTGCTCGCACATGCCTTTTCAGTTCTGCCCACAAATGTTCTATAGGATTGAGGTCAGGGCTTTGTGTTGGCCACTCCAATACCTTGACTTTGTTGTCCTTAAGCCATTTTGTCACAACTTTGGAAGTATGCTTGGGGTCATTGTCCATTTGGAAAACCCATTTGCGACCAAGCTTTAACTTCCTGACTGATGTCTTGAGATGTTGCTTCAATATATCCACATAATTTTCCTTCCTCATGATGCCATCTATTTTGTGAAGTGCACCAGTCCCTCCTGCAGTAAAGCACCCCCACAGCATGATGCTGCCACCCCCGTGCTTCACGGTTGGGATGGTGTTCTTCGGCTTGCAAGCCACCCCCTTTTTCCTCCAAACATAACGATGGTCATTATGGCCAAACAGTTCAATTTTTGTTTCATCAGACCAGAGGACATTTCTCCAAAAAGTACAGTCTTTGTCCCCATGTGCAGTTGCAAACTGTAGTCTGACTTTTTTATGGCGGTTTTGGAGCAGTGGCTTCTTCCTTGCTGAGTGGACTTTCAGGTTATGTCGATATAGGACTTGTTTTACTGTGGATATAGATACCTTTGTGCCTGTTTCCTCCAGCATCTTTTACAAGGTCCTTTGCTGTTGCTCTGGGATTGATTTGCACTTTTCGCACCAAAGTACGTTCATCTCTAGGAGACAGAACGCGTCTCCTTCCTGAGCGGTATGACGGCTGCGTGGTCCCATGGTGTTTATACTTGCGTGCTATTGTTTGTACAGATGAACGTGGTACCTTCAGGCGTTTGGAAATTGCTCCCAAGGATGACCCAGACTTGTGGAGGTCTACAATTTTTTTTCTGAGGTCTTGGCTGATTTCTTTTGATTTTCCCATGATGTCAAGCAAATAGGCACTGAGTTTGAAGGTACGCCTTGAAATACATCCACAGGTACACCTCCAATTGACTCAAATGATGTAAATTAGCCTATCCAAGCTGTTTGAAGGCAGTCAACTTAGTGTATGTAAACTTCTGACCCACTGGAATTGTGATACAGTGAATTATAACTGAAATAATCTGTCTGTAAACAATTGTTGGAAAAATTACTTGTCATGCACAAAGTAGATGTCCTAACCGACTTGCCAAAACTATAGTTTGTTAACAAGAAATTTGTGGAGTGGTTGTAAAACGAGTTAACTACTCCAACTTAAGTGTATGTAAACTTCTGACTTCAACTGTGCATTTGTATGTTACAATTGAAATATACGTACACTGCTCAAAAAAATAAAGGGAACACTTAAACAACACAATGTAACTCCAAGTCAATCACACTTCTGTGAAATCAAACTGTCCACTTAGGAAGCAACACTGATTGACAATACATTTCACATGCTGTTGTGCAAATGGAATAGACAACAGGTGGAAATTATAGGCAATTAGCAAGACACCCCCAATAAAGGACTGGTTTTGCAGGTGGTGACCACAGACCACTTCTCAGTTCCTATGCTTCCTGGCTGATGTTTTGGTCACTTTTGAATGCTGGCGGTGCTTTCACTCTAGTGGTAGCATGAGACGGAGTGTACAACCCACACAAGTGGCTCAGGTAGTGCAGCTCATCCAGGATGGCACATCAATGCGGGCTGTGGCAAGAAGGTTTGCTGTGTCTGTCAGCGTAGTGTCCAGAGCATGGAGGCGCTACCAGGAGACAGGCCAGTACATCAGGAGACGTGGAGGAGGCCGTAGGAGGGCAACAACCCAGCAGCAGGACTGCTACCTCCACCTTTGTGCAAGGAGGAGCAGGAGGAGCACTGCCAGAGCCCTGGAAAATGACCTCCAGCAGGCCACAAATGTGCATGTCTGCTCAAACGGTCAGAAACAGACTCCATGAGGGTGGTATGAGGGCCCGACGTCCACAGGTGGGGGTTGTGCTTACAGCCCAACACCGTGCAGGACGTTTGGCATTTGCCAGAGAACACCAAGATTGGCAAATTCGCCACTGGTGCCCTGTGCTCTTCACAGATGAAAGCAGGTTCAAACTGAGCACATGTGACAGACGTGACAGAGTCTGGAGACTCCGTGGAGAACGTTCTGCTGCCTGCAACATCCTCCAGCATGACCGTTTTGGCGGTGGGTCAGTCATGGTGTGGGGTGGCATTTCTTTGGGGGGCCGCACAGCCCTCCATGTGCTCGCCAGAGGTAGACTGACTGCCATTAGGTACCGAGATGAGATCCTCAGACCCCTTGTGAGACCATATGCTGATGCGGTTGGCCCTGGGTTCCTCCTAATGCAAGACAATGCTAGACCTCATGTGGCTGGAGTGTGTCAGCAGTTCCTGCAAGAGGAAGGCATTGACGCTATGGACTGGCCCGCCCGTTCCCCAGACCTGAATCCAATTGAGCACATCTGGGACATCATGTCTCGCTCCATCCACCAACGCCACGTTGCACCACAGACTGTCCAGGAGTTGGCGGATGCTTTAGTCTAGGTCTGGGTGGAGATCCCTCAGGAGACCATCCGCCACCTCATCAGGAGCATGCCCAGGCGTTGTAGGGAGGTCATACAGGCACGTGGAGGCCACACACACTACTGAGCCTCATTTTGACTTGTTTTAAGGACATTACATCAAAGTTGGATCAGCCTGTAGTGTGGTTTTCCACTTTAATTTTGAGGGTGACTCCAAATCCAGACCTCCATGGGTTGATACATTTGATTTCCATTGATCATTTTTGTGTGATTTTGTTGTCAGCACATTCAACTATGTAAAGAAAAAAGTATTTAATAAGATTATTTCATTCATTCAGATCTAGGATGTGTTATTTTAGTGTTCCCTTAATTTTTTTGAGCATTGTATTTCGCTGTTTCAGTGCAAATCCACCTCACTGATTGTTTTGTAATGGTTAGACTAACTGCTGTTCTCGCGCTCTCTCTCTCTCTCCCTGTCCACAGAGGTGTATCATCAACAACACCCACCGGCTGGTGGAGCTGTGTGTGGCCAAGCTCTCTCAGGACTGGTTCCCTTTGCTGGAGCTGCTGGCCATGGCCACCAACCCCCACTGCAAGTTCCACATCTACAACGGCACACGGCCCTCCGAGACGGTGCCCGCCGGGGCGCAGCTGGCCGATGACGAGCTCTTCGCCCGCCCCCCTGACCCTCGGTCCCCCAAGGTAGGGTCCGAATTCAAGGTAGGCACCCCCCCCAAAATTTTTTATTTTTTTTTCTTCACCCAAGGTGAACCACCTGTTCTTCCATTGTACACCTTATTTGGGACCCAAACTGTTTTTAAATATATATTTTTGTAGTTTTCAACACTGACGGATTGGAAATCAGAGAGGGAGACAGGCAAGTGGGAGAGAAACAGTGGGAAGGGTGGATACAGGGATTGAACCCTGGTCTCCGGTGGCGAGTCGTTTATGTGACTGTGCCGGGTAGGGATGGGCATGAGTAATCAAGTACTCCAACGGATGTCAAAGCTCGATCTTTAACCAGATATTTTGTGGAATGTGCTTTGTGTCTGCCCAAACGGCAAGTTAAATTTTGTCTTGGTCATTTTATTTGACTCGAGTGTTCCATTTGTGCATTTGCGGGGCACAACAAAAAATAAATCAAGCCAAGCATCACACCGTTCTCCTCACTAATTTCCCTTTCCCCTCCGTGTCTCATTTACTCAATTGCCTTCTGACTGCTCCCTCCACAAATCAAATTTTATTTGTCACATGCGCCAAGCACAACAGGTGTGGACTTGACCGTGAAATGCTTATTTACGAGCCCTTTCCCAACAATGCAGAGTTACATTTTTTTAAAATAATTTGCTAAATAAAAAAAGGAAATGTTAACACAATATCAAGGCTATATACAAGGAGTACCGGTACCGAGTCAATGTGCAGGTGTAGGAGGTAATATGTCCCGTGTGGCTCAGTTGGTAGAGCATGGCGCTTGCAACGCCAGGGTTGTGGGTTCGATTCCCACGGGGGGCCAGTATGAAAAGATGTATGCACTCACTAACTGTAAGTCGCTCTGGATAAGAGCATCTGCTAAATGACTAAAATGTAAATATGTACATGTAGGTAGGGGTAAAAGTGACTAGGCAATCAGGATAGATAATAAACAGAGTAGCAGCAGTGTATGTGAAAGTGTGTTTGGCGTCAGTATGTGTGTGTGTGTGTGTTTGTGTTGGAGTGTCAGTGTAGTGTGTGTGTGGTTAGAGTCAGTGCAAGAATGTCAATGCAAAAAAAGGGGTCTCAATACAAATGTTCAGCAGTCTTATGGCTTGGGGTAGAAGCTGTTCAGGAGCTTTTTGGTCCCAGTCTATGACTTGGGTGGCTGTAGTCTTTGACAATTTTTAGGGCCTTTCTCTGACACCGGCCTGGTATAGAGGTCCTGGATGGCAGGAAGCTTGGCCTCAGTGATGTACTAGGCCGTACGCAATACCCTCTGTAGCGCCGTGTGGTGGAATGCCAAGCAGTTGCCATACCAAGCGGTGATGCAGCCAGTCAAGATACTCTCAATGGTGCAGCTGTGTAACTTTTTGAGGATCTGAGGGCCCATGCCAAAGTCGTGCCTTCTTCAAGACTGTGTTTGGACCATGATGGGTCCTTAGTGATGTGGACACCGAGGAACTTGAAGCTCTCGACCTGCTCCACTATAGCCCCGTCGATGTGAATGGGGGCGTGTTCGGCCCTCCGTTTCCTGTAGTTCACGATCAGCTCCTTTGTCTTGCTGACGTTGAGGGAGAGGTTGTCCTCCTGGCACTACACTGCCAGGTCTCTGACCCCCTCCCTATAGGCTGTCTCGTTTTCGGTGATCAGGCCTACAACCGTTGTGTCGTCGGCAAACTTAATGATGGTCTTGGAGTCTTTGGCGGCAACACAGTCATGGGTGAACAGGGAGTGCAGAAGGGGACTAAGCAAGCACCCCTGAGGGGCCCCCGTGTTGAATGCTGAGCTGTAGTCAATGAACAGCATTCTCACGTAGGTGTTCCTTTTGTCCAGGTGGGAAAGGGCAGTGTGGAGTGCTATAGAGATCTGTTGGGAAGGTATGCAAATTGGAGTGGGTCCAGGGTGTCTGGGATGATGGTGTTGATGTGCTTTGGAGCTATAGTAATTTAGACAGGTTAGCTTGGCTTTCTTTGGGCACAGGGACTTTGGTGGTCTGCTTGAAACATGTAGGTATTACAGACTGGGTCAGGGAGAGGTTGAAAGTGTCAGTGAAGACACTTGCCAGCTAGTACGCGTCCTGGTAATCCGTCTGGCCCTGCGACCTTGTGAATGAGCTGCAGTTTTGGAATAATTGCATCCCATCTATTTTCTGCTTCAGCTACTTTGCGAACTGCTAGTGCCATTTAAAATTGGTTAGCCTAGGCTATAACCCCCCTAAACATAGACGGGTTCCACACTGAAAAAATATGCAAAAACATCAGTTTGATAAAGACAGAGCGTATTTTCATTAGAATCATTAACCATAGGCCTACTCACCAAACAGATGTCGTGGCCGTAATTCATCACCATGCAGTGTTCAATGTGGAATTGTTCATCCATTTGGAAAATTCCAAAGAACAGGCAGAATAAACTACAATATATACACAAGAGTATGTGGACACTTCAAAATAGTTGATGCGGCTATTTCAGCCACACCCGTTGCTGACGTGTATAAAATCGAGCACACAACCATGCAATCTCCATAGACAAACATTGGCAGTAGAATGGCCTTACTGAAGAGCTCAGTGACTTTCAATGTGGCACTGTCATAGGATGCCACCTTTCCAACAAGTCAGTTCGTCAACTTTCTGCCCTGCTAGAGCTGGCCCGGTCAACTGTAAGTGCTGTTATTGTGAAGTGGAAATATCTAGGAGCAACAACGGCTCAGCCACAAAGTGGTAGGCCACACAAGCTCACAGAATGGGACCGCCGAGTGCTGAAGCGCGTAGCACATAAATAGTTTGTCCTCGGTTGCACTACCGAGTTCCAAACTGCCTCCTCTCGAAGCAACGTCAGCACAAGAACTGTTCGTTGGGAGCTTCATGAAATGGGTTTCCATGGCCGTGCAGCCGCACACAAGCCTAGGATCACCATGCACAATGCCAAGCCTCGGCTGGAGTGGTGTAAAGCTCTCCGCCATTGGACTCTGGAGCAGTGGAAACGCGTTCTCTGGAGTGAAGTATCATGCTTCACCATCTGGCAGTCCGACAGACGAGTCTGGGTTTGGCGGATGCCAGCAGAACGCTACCAGCCTCAATGCATAGTGCCAACTGTATAGTTTGGTGGAGGAGAAATCATGTTCTGGGGCAGTTTTTCATGGTTCGGGCTAGGCCCCTTAGTTCCAGTGACTGTAAATCTTAAAGCTACACCATACAATGACATTATAGATGATTCTGTGCTTCCAACCTTTTGGCAACAGTTTGGGGAAGGCCCTTTCCTGTTTCAGCATGACAATGCCCCCGTGCACAAAGCGAGGTCCTAACAGAAATGGTTTGTCGATCGGTGTGGAAGAACTTGACTGGCCTGCACAGAGCCCTGACCTCAATCCCATCAAACACCTTTGGGATGAATTGGAATGCTGACTGCGAGCCAGGCTTAATAGCCCAACATCAGTGCCCGACCTCACTAATGCTCTTGTGGCTGAATGGAAGCAAGTCCCTGCAGCAATGTTCCAACATCTAGTTGAAAGCCTCCCCAGCAGAGTGGAGGCTGTTATAGTGGATGAGCAGATGTCCCCATACTTTTTGTATACAGTACCAGTCAAAAGTTTGGGCACACCTACTCATTCCAGGGTTTTTCTTTATTTTTTCTATTTTCTACATTGTAGAATAATAGTGAAGACATCAAAACTATGTATTATGAAATAACACACATGGAATAATGTAGTAACCAAAAAAGTGTTAAATTAATGGTGTGGCTGTTGAACAAGTTCAGGAGACTAAAATACTTGGCGTTACCTTAGATTGTGGTCCTCTGTAGCTCAGCTGGTAGAGCACGGCGCTTGTAACGCCAAGGTAGTGGGTTCGATCCCCGGGACCACCCATACACAAAAATGTATGCACGCATGACTGTAAGTCGCTTTGGATAAAAGCGTCTGCTAAATGGCATATTTATTTTTATATTTATTTATTGTAAACTATCATGGTCAAAACATATAGATTCAATGGTTGTAAAGATGGGGGAGGTCTGTCCGTAATAAAGAGATGCTCTGCTTTTTTGACGCCACATTCCAAAAAGCAAGATATGCAGGCTCTAGTTTAGTCTAATCTTGATTATTGTTCAGTCGTGTGGTCCAGTGCTGCATGGAAAGACCTAGTTAAGCTGCAGCTGGCCCAAAACAAAGCGGCACGTCTTGCTCTTCATTTGTATTCGGAGGGCTGATATAAATACTATGCAGGCCAGTCTATCTTGGCTAAGAGTTGAGGAGAGACTGACTGCATCACTTTTTCTTTTTATAAGAAACATGAATGTGTTAAATCTCATTGTTTGCATAGTCAACTTACACACAGCTCTGACACACACACTTACCCCACCAGACATGCCACCAGGGGTATTTTCACAGTCCCCAAATCCAGAACAAATTCAAGAAAGCGTACAGTATTATATAAAGCCCTTATTGCATGGAACTCCATTCCATCTCATATTGCTCAAATGAACAGCACCCTGGTTTCAAAATACAGATAAAGCAACATCTCACAGTGTTCTGTCCTTGAGCTGTTCTTGTCTATTAATGTTCTGTATTGTTTCATGGTTTGTGTGGACACCAGGAAGAGTAGCTTCTGCTTTTGCAACAGCTAATGGGGATCCTAATAAAATACCAAATACCAAACAAATCAAAATATATTTTATATTTGAGAATTTTCGAATAGCCACCCTTTGCCTTGCCACACTCTTGGCATTCTCTCAACCAGCTTCTTGAGGTAGTCACCTGGAATGCATTTCAACTAACATGTGCCTTCTTAAAAGTTAATTTGTGGAATTTATTTCCTTCTTAATGCGTTTGAGCCAGTCAGTTGTGGTGTGACAAGATAGTGGGGTATACAGAAGATAGCCCTATTTGGTAAAAGACCAAGTCCATATTATGGCAAGAACAGCTCAAATAAGCAAAGAGAAACGACAGTCCATCATTACTTTAAGACATGAAGGTCAGTCAATACTGAAAATGTCAAGAACTTTGAACGTTTCTTCAAGTGCAGTCGCAAAAACCA